TCGTTCCTTTCGACCGACGGTGGTATCCCTGTGGAACGTGCCACGGGTAGAGCTATGTGTCTGTCAACGACGTCGGACGCTTTTCATATGGTCAACCCCGGGTTGGCCAAAAGCTTCTGTCGTTCTGAGAAGCAAGAATACTCGTCTTGGACAAAGTCCAGCACTTGAGAGCTGAACCTTTTGGTTCAGCTCGTTGACCGTGTTTGCGTCTGTGCCCTGCACAGACTCGCACCTTGTGTTCGCATCAGTCCCAGACTGTGCGTGGCTCTTCGTAGCGTCAGTGCCCGGCACTGACGTAGTACTTGTGCTCACAGCAGGTCCCGCTTGTGTGTGAGTCTTCTCTGTATCCGTGGCCGGCACTGATACTACCTACGTGATCGCAACAGACCCTGTCTGTGCGTGAGATTTCTCAGTATCAATAGCATGTATTGATACGTCACTTGTGCTTGAAACAGGCTGTGCTGTGCATGGTTCTTCGCGGTGTCTGTGCCCGGTTCAGACTCGTTGCCATTGGTGGTAGCAGGTTCCGCCTGCTCGTAGTTCTTCCCAGTGCCAGTGCTGGGAACGGACACTTCCCCTTGGGCCACAGCGTGGCGCTGCCTCGTGCGGGCTCTCGCTCTTGCTCGTAAATTCACTGTGTCAGTGCCCAACACTGACACATCTTCTTCTGAGGCTTCGGGCTGCCTTGTGCGGGTTCTCGCTCTCGCACATGTCGTTATGTCTGTATCAGTTGTCTTCTCCGGATGATCGACATCAACCGTAGCGCCCCTCCCCCACTTAAAAAGGAAGACACCCGTCTTCCTTATATCGTAAAGTAGACGTGCACACGGTACTAGGGTGCACTTGCTCGTAAGTGAGAGGTCACCCTCCGACGTTCCATGTAGGAAGGAGCTGAGAGAAACTCGATCAGCTCTTGCTTCTGCGTCAAGCGCAAACGCAGCCTTCTCCGTGGAAAATTTATTCGGTCGTCGCGACAACACGTGTGCGACGACATTCAACCTTCCGGGTTTTGTGGACCC